ATTCCCGTCTAGAATTTCATCCCTCGTCTTAAAGACCACCTCTTAGCACGCTTGAGAGGTCTCGCATACAACGGAGACGAGTACACATTCTCCGACGACGACCGCAACAATGTTCTACTCTACGACAATAAGATCTTTGAGCACAGCTACCTGCGCATCAATTATACAACTTACGACCTTCGACGCGAACAAGACTCCATCTGCCCTCGCACTCGTGCCGACATCATGGTTCTCTCCCAGGAGGACGAGCGTTCTCACCCTTATTGGTATGCCAGGGTTGCCATGATTTTCCATGTCATGGTGGAGTACCGCGAGAATCCATCGTCCGCTTATTCCCGTCCAACACGCATGGATGTTTTGTTCATCCGGTGGTTCCAGCGTGATGGGAGCTTTAACTCGGGATTTGATGCAGGGCGACTCCTCCGACTTCAGTTTTTTGAGCAGGAGAACCTCTCCGATGCGTTCGGTTTCGTCAATCCAGATTCTGTCGTGCGTGGTGTCCACCTTATTCCCACCTTTGCACTCGGCAGCACTGTGGAGCTTCTGGGACCTTCATTCGTACGCACGAACAAAGAGACGGCTGGTTGGGATGAAGATTGGCGATATTACTACGTTAACATGTAAGTTTTATCTGACTATTCTATTTTCATGCTCCTAATGTTGCCCAGGTTCGTAGATAGGGACATGTTCATGCGCTTCCGAGGAGGAGGTATTGGACACAAATCAACGCGCGACTGGGATGAAATCCTTCAGCGAGAGGGACGTGATCCACCGGCAGACAGTTGGGATGGTGAATGGGGTGGTGACAACTCGGACTCAGACTCAGACTCGGATGACCTTGTAGGGGACTTAGAGAGCGAGGACGAGGACAGCGACAGCGCGGATGAGAGCGATTCAGATGGTGATGAAGATCGCGTTGTCGCTGACGAAGGAGAAGAGCTAGACGACGACATTTTGGCTCAGGAGGGTTACGGGGCCTTGTGATTTTCGTTTTCCTGCTATATCACGACACGTATTTATCTTATATTATCCGGATAGTATCTACACGGCAACAATACGACGCTATGCTGTCGAACGGATGCGTTTTCTCCATGCTCTTCTATGCGTCCTGAGATATGCGGTAATGACGCGTCATGACGCGTCTGATATCTGTCACGTGGTGACATCCACTCTCGCCCATATCAGGCAATCTCACATTTCTGCAATTTTTGTGATGTTCGTCGCTACGATGTACAATAATGCAGTCTACACATATTCTCCCTGGTGGCCAGTGTCAACTCAGTAATCAATAATGCAGTAAACCAGAAACGACCGCCTTCCTTATGCCTAGGGAGTCTAGTCTAGTTTCCATTGACAGTGACGCCCGCCAACCAACAACGGTTCGTTGACGCATTGAAACTAATCCGAATCCGATCATGCTCAACCTTAACCAGTTACATCGGAATGATGGCGTCGACGACAACAGCTAGACTCACTCGTTCTATCTTCTTCTTTTCTTTTATCTATCGGCCAACTTCGCCCAACGCCCACTGGGGGGGTGTTACTAGTGTGTGGGTGCGTGACGCGTCTACTACTCAATGCATTCATCTGGATACTCTAGTCTCCCCTACGAAAACGTTCAGAAGTGTTAGGAGGTCGTTCCTACGTTCTTACGTGAACACTGAGTCCTCATCGACCCCGTGTGATGACCGGGAAAGTCTACACTGGCGAGGAGAACTCGTAATACGAATACAACCTGGAACGCAGCCCATAATGTAAAACCTCATGATTGGCCGCGTTTGCTCATACAGATTTCTTCAGATTCCAAACAGCCGTTTCGAGATGGCATCCGGGAGACAATATGTTTGTGGTATAGTGATTTTGTCCTCAACACGTCAGTGCTTGCTGTCCGTTTAGCCGCGACGTCGTCACTAACCTTCTCGGTGTAGGACGCACGCCACTGTCCCGACATAAATGATGTTGGACCCACCAAGACCAAATGTGCACTTTATCCGTCTTCTGAAATGGTGTGCTTGTTCGATCTAGGATCGAAACAGATCGAAACTTGCTTTTCCTTGTACCAAAAAGTATAAAAACACTCTCACAGGGAATACGATCGGTACCGGTGAATACTCCCTCTACTCCCTCATGTCGGCGAGAGTCTATCAGCTTCCCGACTTGCTTGCCCTGTTTCCTGAGAAGCCTGGCGGCTCAATCAGCCCCCACTTCAAGGATGCTGAAGCCGGCTATAATCGATGGGTGAAAGAGAAGCTCGGCTGGCTTTTTTCCATTGTGCGCGTTGGAGTGCGCTCGTTGATGCACACTAATTGGCTTTCCAGGAGGTGTCTAACGCCGAAATGCCCCTGTTGGCTGCCCTAGCTTGGCCGCTTGCTTCGTGCAAGGAGCTCAGGGCGATCCTCGACTACATGACAGCATCTTTCATGCTGGAAGAGATGACGTATGAATTTATCGCCTTGTGCACGTTCAAATTTACCCAGATACCCTGACTAGCGATCGTTACTCGAGTGCAACGGCCCTGAGAAATTCGCAAATTTGGATAAAGACTCTTCGGGACCCTGATGCGGGGAAAGGAATACGTCATCCCTTCATCAAGACTATGAGCACGTTAGTCGATCATCAGGCATTTTATTTTATTCTCTAACCTGACTTTGTATACAAGCGAAATGGTGTCGCGCATGAAGGACGCCATTACACCGTTCCACTGGCCACAGTTTATTGATTCAAACGAGAAGTTTTCCGAAAACACTGTCCGTGAAGCTCTCGACCGTGAAGCATTCAGGGATGTCAGGGCTACTCACAATATCCAAGCCTACATGGTCATGCGTCGAGAGACGATAGGAGCTCGGCCTTGCTTTGTCTTGATGCGGTCCACTCGAGGTCTTGAAATCCCAGACCATGTACTCAAGCATCCTGTCGTGGAGGAAATGGAGAATGTCGCTTTAGATATGGTCTACATTGCCAATGTAAGTAGATGTGACAAACGATGCTCGCACGTTAACTCAGCTATCTGCGCGATTCCCTCTCCCAGGATATTTATTCTTTCAAAAAGGAACTCGGTGACAACGGCGCTCTTAACAACCTGTTGACAATTATTCACAAAGATCCTACTACCAATCACCTCGACCTACAAGAGAGAATCGACTGCGCTGGCAAGTTGTTCAAATCGAGCCTCAATCGCTTCCATGCAGGTAGAAGAACACTGCCGTTGTTCCAAGATGAATTTTTGAACCAACAAATTTCTGCATACGCAGATGGGTTGCTCGACTGGATTGTGGGGAATATCGAATGGAGTATCATCAACCACCGATATAACACATTCGCCAGCGAGTTGGAAAGGAAGAATAACCTGATGCGGTTGAACCGCTCACCGCGCTGGCTCTCGATACTCTATTTTCCTGTGTTGAGCGTCTTGGTCATTGTCATGTTGTGGTACTTCACGTCTTAGTCCAGCTGCGTCGCATGCTGCATGTACTGTAATGTAAGCACCTGCGTGTATCTAACGTGTAGTTCTAGTTAATTGCGTCTTGATGAGCACCCTCCATTCCTCCACAGGTCCCTCGCAATTAACCACCCAAATCTCCTCACCATCGAATCCGGATAGGCTCACATCACCGCATCGAAGTAACATGGTCTGCCCTTCCTTACCCCCGCTTTCAGAGACCACGCCAGTATCCCTCAACGTCCCCGCTACCCTATCGCGTTCCGCCGCATCCTCGTCTAGGATGTAACACAACGACATGTGCGGGAACATTGGGGAGTGTGGTACCGAGTCACCGAGGGCAGTCATGATAGCAGTGCGTAGAGCCTCGAGGTCTAGTGTGAGGTGCACGGCGACAAGAACTGAGCGGAAATAATGGTCGCTGACCACGAGGGATTGAAAGTTGGCGCGGACCGCTTGCTGGTTGGGAGGAATGGCATGCAGCAACATTTCAGGGGTCAATTTACTCTGCCGTGGAGTGCTGGCAAGAGTTATGTGCGGGATGATCGCCGGGTAACTTGAAAGTGAGTCATGGCGTTTGGGTAGGACAGATCTAATCGGTTGGAGTTGTTCCGCTGCGGGTACGAGCCAAAGCGAAAGACCTTTGCACAGTGAATGTTGTTCAGCACCAGCCTAATGGATGGACTTTTCGTACCCATATGTACAACGGATGACAACCAGCGGTTCAGGCCTGTCAGGAGTCAAGATACGAGACGACGTTGACAAGTGCTTTGTTCGTAAAAATCAAACCGGCATTTTTGCGCATTATCTTGGCTTCATTTGCAAACAGATACAAGGGCGCTATAGCCAAGTGGTTACGGCGACAGATTAGAAATCTGTTCCTCTTTGAGGGCGCAGGTTCGAATCCTGCTGGCGTCGATTTTTTTTTGCACGCTCAGACCGCTGTGTTGGGGCGATGGTTGTGAGTTATTAATAACAATTTGGATAAATCGTTATGAACATATCGTATTCCTCGCTTAGCAATGGTCAAAACTCCGCAAACGCATGTTCAGCGACATGCCCATCCGCCGTCTCATCAAGATGCCAGAGATTGTCCTCGTCGAACAAAACGAAGTGCTCAATTACCTGATCGCCAAAGGTCAAGCAACCAACTGTTCAGACGGAGACACCGTCGATAGTACGCGATCTGCAATTCTTTCACACATGTACATGGGGAATAGATGAGGTCGGTTACAATGGTTTGCAGAACAAGAACAAAAAGTGTGGCTGGTGTGTTGGGAGACGGCTGCGACCCAGGGTACATCAAACGCGTGCACTTCTGCCATGTCGCGCGCACAAAGCACGACATCGAATACGGATGGATGGATACTGTCTGCATTGACAAATCCAGCCTGATGTGTCTTGGTGGATGGGGAAATGGATATTTGGCAAGTGTCGAAAACGAATCTGATAGTATTTGGTAACATACTAGTCCAAGATAGCCCCGTACTCGAGTACTTGAAGTGAAAAACAAACCTAGGGGCCATGCCTTCTTCAACAGCTGTAATCATCACATGATTGGGGCGCTATAGCCAAGTGGTTACGGCGACAGATTCGAATGCTGTGAAATCTGTTCCTCTTTGAGGGCGCAGGTTCAAATCCTGCTGGCGTCGACTTGTTTTCGAGATTTTTTTTTTTGCCACGTCCGCTGCAGTGTAGTTGTCGCAACTGGAGTAGACGGTTTGCGACTTTGCCCGTGTACCGCAACGACGATGCTGACGGCAAGCATGGACTACCGATATCTTTCTCAAGTAGCTGCCAATTGGACCAGGTCAATACCGACGCATCACCGCTGGCTCGATGTGCCAACACGGTGGGCTGCTTCTCCTCGTCTCGCACAACCCGCTGCACTTGGGATTCTGCTGTCAGCAACGTTGGTCTCAATCTTCCTGTCGTTCCATGCATGGTACCGCAAGGAAGACCACACCCACACCAGGACAGCTCTTCAAGCCCTCCTCACCGTAATCACCCCAACGTGTTCCCTGTGGCCTCCGCAATACACCGAGCTTGCGAAACGTGCCAGCATTGCTGGCTCGAACATTGCGGTGCCACTCGACACACTCATCCATGATTTCGTCGATGGTGTGATTGAACTTCGCAATCCAGTCATGGACTTGGCCCATCTCGTTAGCTCGGGCTGCCCTGTTGGCGGCTGGACCATATGCATCAGCGTCGAGTGGAAATGGTGGACGGAAGCACTCGAGTGGTGGCTGGTTTCAAAGGTGAGCCTGCAAACAGGTAGGCGAGATATTGACACCAGGAAAGCCATGTCTGCGATAGTCGACAGGACGGATAGGTGCGCATACACACCAGTAGTGCAACCCGTCCTCGTTCACTGATCAGTAGGTTCCTCAAGAAAATCCCCTTCCAGATTTCCCTATTTTCATCCCCTCGGGTTCCTCCTTCACCCCGTCGCCACAACTTGCTCCTCCGAGCCTTTGATCACCCTCGACTACGGCCTTGGTATCTCTCTTCCACGTGCTGGATCTGTAGTAAGAGTTGAATTTACATCCTTTTCACCACATCTCCGCACGCTCAGCGCTGCACAAATCATCGCCACACTTCCATTCACCCTCTCTCACGGTCCACACCGCTGTCCAAGGTCTCTCTCATCGGTGCTTGAGCTGCTCGTTGCGTCGGGCAACGTCACAGTCCACTCGGTGACGAACGTCTCAGCAGACTACGAGCGCGCCCTCGCAGACGTGTACGAAAAGATCTCGTGGGACCCACAGATGCGCAAAGAGTGGGCGAACGCGTTTGGCCTCAAGAAGTGGCGTCTGGATAGGTTTCTGATAGCCCTCGAGGCCGCGCTTGTACGTCGGCGCTGGATCGAGAGGTGGGCTGTCCATGTTTCAAAAACATGAGATTGCAGTGGTTCCATAGTCTCGTTCTCCGAGTTTGTTCTCCATACAGCCTCCTGCCTCGTACATAGGTAGATCCTTTTACAGTTAGAGAATGCACTTTGAAGCAGTAACATGATGCACGATCTCACTAGCAAGTTACTCCAAGTATCGTTGCTTAACTCGGTATAAGCTAGACTTGGGATGGTTTGGCCTCGTCAACATCGTCGTGGCTGTGGTCTCTCGACGAGCTCGTACTACCAGCAGCGTTCTTCTCTCTGTCGTCGCTGTCGCTGTCGTTGTCGTTGTTCAGCAACACGCTAGAAGCCAATGACAGCCATGGTACCCACAATCGACGAGCTTGAGCAGTACTTTGAATCTGTCGAACGCTTCGTCTCGCAATCGCTGGCAGCTGCCTCACCTGATCTTCCCAACATCCGTGAGGCCGTGAATCGCCTCTGGGTCGACATCTCTCGCTTTGGCCCTCCTGGACTGTCCAATCTCCCCGACATTCACGTTCCCGGCCTCGGTGCTTTTGAGGTGCCCCCTCCTCCCCCACCACCACCGCCAAAGTCCCTTCTGGAGAAAACCAGTGATTACATCGGACAGCATCCAAGGATCACAGCAGGCGCGGTTATAGCAGTGCTTGGGTTCGGGCTTCTCGCGGGCTACAGTACCATCCAGACACGATATGCTCACAGGAGGAAAATACGGCCCGCCACTGCAACTCCTGACAAGCGTCAGGTTGTCGGTATGTCCTGTTCATTCGTTCCCAGTTGGCGCTAATGGTCTAACTCATCGCATCAGTCGTCTTGGGTGGTGACCACCCCCTTGGATTTCCCCTGATTTTGGAGCTTGAGAATAAGGGTTACATTGTTATCACTAGCGTCTCCTCTCCGGAGACTGTCACTGACATTGAAAGAAAAACCCATGGATTTGTTCGTGCACTTGTACTTGATCCAAATGAAGTTTGTGTCGAGATTTCTATTCCGTCGCTGCAGCCCCACTGACTGCTGTCTTGCAGCCTGGCACCATCCCCATCTTCCTCCGCTCCCTTGCATCGACCTTATCTCGACGCTTTCCAATCACGGCTGCAGGTGACCCATATGCGCCTACTCCTTACCATCCTCTCCTGCATTCCATTATCTCGTTATTGACGATGCCAACCACCTCCATGCATTGTGCGCCTGCCCCACTCGAGCAAGTTTCCTTGCGTAGTACCTATCTTCCGCACCTCCTGTCCACGCACATCGCACCCCTGCAGACACTTCAGGCGCTACTGCCATTACTACGCGCGGACGCACAGCGCGCACTAGGGCGTAAGTCCGTCATCCTCTGTCTGCCCGCTGCGGATGCACGTGTGGGACTACCGTTTGGTGGCGTCAGCGCCATGAGCGCTGCTGCTACTCTGCGCGCGGCGGATGTACTGCGCCGCGAAGCTGCCGTGGCTCAGGGCATGAATACGATCCGTATCGTCACTGTTGACGTTGGAGCTGTTGGTCCGCTCATAGGCGAGGTGGCTAGTTCAACCACTATGGACGATTGGACACCCTCAGAGAAGGCTACATACGGCACAGCGTTTAGCGCGCTGGGCGAAACACTGAGAAGCCTACGTACTCCGGAAGACGACTCGGTGTTTGTAGACAGTGTCATTGGAGTCGTCAGCTCGGGTACCAAAACGAGCGGTGCAGGAAAGGCTGTTTTTGGTATCGGATTAGGGCTTGCATACGAGAAGATTAAAGACTGGATGCGAGGCGATCGGTTCTCGGTTGGAGCAGGGGGTAAGTGGAGATTTACCGATTGTAGTGACTTGAGCTTACGTATGACATGTAGCTGCTACCTATACCGCTGCGTCCTTCCTTCCGACTGTCCTTTTGGATGGTCTTTTGAATCTCCCTCATATTCTTATGGGCATCCGGAATCGTCTTTTACCCATTCCACCGGCTCAGGTATATCCTACCCCGGCATCCAACGTCGCCGCGGCGACTGCTCCAGTACCTGGAACGCCGTCCTCCATGCCGACTTCCTCTACAAAGCCTTATCGGTCTCCTCATTCAAGTCGAACCTCATCACCGGTGGGAGTGCACGGGTCTGGTACTGAGGATGGTCATGAGACAAGTTCAGAGGCAGACGTGGAGAGCAACGTAGGAGACGGCGATGGCTCTGGCGTTGGGAGCAGCTGGGTGAGCTTAAGAGCTCCCGGGGCCTCTGGTTAATTCGAAAGCAACAAGGATCATTCGAGGTATGATTGATCTTCTGAACTATGAATTTTCGATGAAGGGGTCATGGTGTGGTATTTTCCCTGTGTTGCAAACTGAGCCTTTCTGTACTTAGCTATGTTATAACGACGTGTCTTGTAAACGTTGTCTCTATTCTTTAGATGTTTTTCCGAGTTGTCCACGTAAGTAGACGCAAATGACAGTGAACGAAGCAGCGTTATGCAGTCAAAGTCACTTGAACCACTGAATGCAGTGTAAAGGATATGGGCATTTTTTTTTTGTACGAATGGCCCTTGCTCTACTCTAACAGAAAACAAGGGCAACACCAAGCACATCCACCAGTCATTGACCAGTCCTACCTAGTTGCCACCCATCTCCTTGGCAAGCTGCTCGGCCTTTGCCTTGACGTCCTCGATCGTACCCGCCATGTAGAAGGCAGACTCAGGCAGACTATCGTGTGTACCAGAAAGAATCTCCTTGAATGACCGAATCGTGTCCTTCAAGGGCACAAGCTTGCCCTCATAACCAGTGAAGACCTGAGCAACCTGGAAGGGTTGCGACATGAAACGCTGGATCTTGCGAGCACGCTCAACCTAGTGAACGGTGTTAGGCCGAGTAGAAAGAATATCAATGTTCCAACATACCGTCAACTTGTCCTCTTCTGACAACTCGTCCATGCCCAAGATAGCAATGATATCTTGAAGTGACTTGTAGTCTTGTAGAATCTTCTGGACAGCGGTCGCCACCTCGTAATGCTCTTGGCCAACAATACGGGGATCGAGCATACGCGACTTCGAGTCCAGGGGGTCAACAGCGGGATAGATACCAAGTTCAGCGATACCACGAGACAGAACTGTAGTAGCATCCAAGTGTGCGAAAGTAGTGGCGGGAGCAGGGTCCGTCAAATCATCTGCAGGGACATACACTGCCTGCACTGATGTGATGGATCCTTTCTTGGTGGTGGTGATACGCTCTTGCCTGTGCAAACGTCAGCAAGCTTGCATATTGTCTGGAATTCTCCACATACATGCCACCCATATCAGTCGAGAGCGTAGGTTGGTAACCGACGGCGGAGGGAATACGACCTAGCAAGGCTGACACCTCGGAACCTGCCTGGGTGAAACGGAAAATGTTGTCGATGAAAAGAAGTACATCTTGGCCCTCTTCATCACGGAAGTATTCGGCAATAGTGAGACCAGTGAGAGCAACACGAGCACGAGCACCCGGAGGCTCGTTCATCTGACCGAAGACCAATGCTACCTTGGAGTCACCCTCAAGGTTGATAACACCAGTCTCAATCATTTCGTGGTAAAGGTCGTTACCCTCACGCGTGCGTTCACCGACACCTGATACAAAAACGAAAATAAGCTATCCCTTGGTAAATACGGTTGACAGAAAGTGCGCACCGCAGAAAATAGAGAAGCCACCATGAGCCTTGGCAACATTGTTGATAAGTTCTTGAATCAAAACAGTCTTGCCAACACCAGCACCGCCGAAGAGACCGATCTTTCCACCACGTGCGTAGGGGGCCAGAAGGTCGACGACCTTGATGCC